AGTTTTTGCAGAACCAACAAGACAGGTATGAGTCACCCGTGAATCCACCAAATTCACATTTTTTTGCTGTGCAAATAAGACTCATTTAGGCTCTCTGAAGCACTCTGTAGCCGAGAGTGGACGATCAGATCTGATATAAGAGACGACGTTACAAAATGTGCAACGAAGGCTTGGCGTCGTGAAGAACAACAAACTCCACAGTAACTATGATGTAACGGGTTACGTCCAGAGAGAACAGCTCGGAGAGACTTATGTTGGAGAATATAGTTAAAGAGCAACAGAGATAACTTTAAACCAGAGGTCGGCACGGCCCTATCTCGGGGGCATAGGAAATTTCTCTGCCCGAGCTCTGCCACACACACACAGTATAAATGTGTGAAACGTCATGCTCAAAGCCTACTTTCTACTATACGTTACTAACACTAATGCGGTAAAATTATATCAATGTATTGGGGTGCCGACCTCTGCTTTAAACGATTAAATGTATAAATAGAAAATAAATAGTTCAATGAACTTATTAGGTCGAATTTATTTTTAGAAATTAATCGTTATATTTCAACTTGTCGCGAAAGGAGAAAGCTTAAGTTCAAGATCGAAGATAATTGCAAACTTGCAAAGTTTGTTTCAAAATTTTTTCCTCGCCCCTCCCGCCTACACAAAGCGTCAATTTCTGTAGCGCAAGTACAAAAGCTTTTTTGAAAAAATGTTGATGCCAAACTATTTCTATAGTTAATATATATCAAAGTTTTATCCAACCCAGCCGATTTTTACACTAGATATATCCATATATGTATATAAAATTTCCCAAACAAACGGGCTAAAGAGATAGAGATATCTGATTGGGATGTGGACTCGTATCGTATCCGCGGAGGTCAAACTTGTATCAAAGCTTTTCCACACCCACAGTTCGTTAAAGTTGTAATACCAACCTCTTCTTATGAGGTTGCTCAAATCAAAAATCAGCCAAATCGGATAATTTGTAGAGAAGTTTACACTTTTAGTCGGCTTCCCTACCAAATCAGTACTAGTGACGTGGGAAGTCAAGAAGGGGGCTGCAGTTGTTTTTTTGGACAAGCGCAAAAGCGTGCAAAAAAAATTTGTTGCTAAGGATCCATACCGTTAAAGCTTAAACATTTAAATTGTGAGTGCAAAAAATGAGTACCGGGTCGAAATGCTCGAAAAATTTCTTCTTATTTTTATAAACGACATTTGATGCTTTTTTCATTCTAACTACTAGACCGTAAAATCTTTAAAGTCATTAGCTGCGTTAGGACACTAACCATACAGCATATAGACAACCCGATTCATACAACGAAAATGGACGCAAAAATTTCTTGCGACAGGCCCCAGCAGTCCCCAGAGCGAGTTCTTATAAAAATCAATTAAAACAAGAAAGGAAAGCTAACTTCAGGCGGAGCCGAAGTTGATATACCCTTGCAGTTAAAACCGGATATATATCGCAAACATCGGATATAGTTGGCCGATCCTTATGAGAATATGATAATATAACCCAATTTAATATAATAAAAAATCTAAAAAAAAAAGTCCCAAACTTCAAAAATACCAGTTGGTATTGGTATTCCTACCTAAGTTGGTATTCCTACCAAAAACCATTTCCGATCGTTCAGTTATATGACAGCTATAAGATATAGTCGGATATATTTATAACTGACCAAAAATATAATGTAATTAAGGGGTTATATATAGTTGTACCGCGCAAAAAATGGAATTTTATCGATTTATTTTTTGACAAAATAAAAAATATTTATGAAAAATGTTTTACCGACGTTGTTTAGTACATGTTTCTGGGTACTTATTTAAATTTTTTCATAAAAAAAATATTACATAATGTTATAGCCGAATTCCCGGATCGTCCTTTTTTGATGGTGTCTTGCGGTGGACATCATATCCCGAGAACGGTTCATCCGAAATCAAAAATATTTCGTTAGTATATTGTATTGCCTAGTCCGTGAACAAAGGATTTTTAAAAATTTTGTTTAAAAAAAAAATGGCGACGTTTTAAACAAAAAATGTACTTTTTCAAGGTATACGATTTTCGATTTTTATGCTTTAAAAATGGAGTTTTCAAAAAAATTGAAAATCCCTCGTTCAGGGACTAGCTAATATCATAATAAATAAGTGGTCCAAATTTGGTGTTGATCGGATCAATAGTTTTTTAGTAATCGTGTCCACCGCAAAGGTAATTTCAAAAAATCAAGATTCTGAGATAATCGCGTTTAAAGTTTTACGTCTGTTCAAGTTTGATATGCAGGTAGTGCGCTATAAATAGCTACAGCTTCGGTTCTAATGCTCCGATCGAAACCTCCGAAGGTTTCTTTAAATTTTACACATTAAAAATTATAAATAATTGAAGTTGATTTCAAAAATAATTCAAATTGTTGTTCTATTGTTTTATGTTCACTGCCTAGTAGTTTCAATATATCAAATGCAAACGAGAAGAAGGATAAGCTAATTTAGGGCACATATGGCGCAAGTGATCCATTGAAGTTTTTCTTAAATTTAAGTTAGTTTTATTTAGCGACTTACAGCGCTACGCTCGAAAGTATCAAACGCAATTTATCCCCTTCTAGTTTTTTCTGAAATTTTAGTTAGTTTTATTAAGCGACTTACAGCGCGACGCTCGAAGGTTTAAATTCTTTAAGCTACCAACCCAAAATTATTATTATACACTTGTGGGGGTATTCTAATTTTGGTCAAAAGTGTGCAACGCAGAGAAGGAGACATCTCCGACCATAAAGTATATATATTCTTGATCAACTCCTTAGTTAATATAAGCATAAGTTACGGAAACTAGTCTCTCAGATTTAAAGCTTTCGACTTACAATTTTGCACACACCCTTATTTCCTTTGCACGAAGTAAATAAAGTCTATTAAGTTATTTTAATAAGTACCCGGTCTGAACGGCCGGAATCGGTCGACTATATCCTATAGCTGCCATATAACTGATTGATCGGAACTTTATGATTTTTAGAGTTAGAGAGATGGGATTCTATGGATTCTATTTTTTAGCAAAATTATACTCTACGAAATTTTATAAGCATCTGCCGATTATATTGACCCGATCTACCAAATTTCATACGGATCGGCCGACTATATCTTATAGCTGCCATATAACTGAACGATTTAAAATGGTACTTTGTAAAAATACCAACTTAAGTATTTTTGAAGAAAGAAGCTTCGGACTTTTTTTTTATGTTTTTTATTGTTACAAACTGGTTGTAGTATGATATTCTTTTAAGGATCGGCCAATTATATCTGAAGTTTGCGATACATATCCGGTCTTGGTCTACCTTACCTATAGGTACCCTTCAGTACCATACCTCAAGGATTACTCAAAGAAACCTCAAGGTAATGGAATTGCCCCCCAAGGAATCCTCGGGGTATGTTTCATACAAACCATCAAGGAATTTCCATAGAAGAGCTCCTCGCATCGAGGAATTCGAACACCTCAAGGAATACTGCGGGATTCCTGCAGTTATTCGAAGAGCATTTCGAACCAAATACCCCAGGGAATCCCTGGGGTACACTCTGAGGAATCTTTGAGAAAATACTCCAAGGAATCCCTGGGGTATACTCTGAGGAATCTTTGGGGAAATACCCCAAGGAATCCCTGGGGTATACTCTGAGGAATCTTTGGGGAAATACCCCATTTATTATTATTTTTTTTTTTGTTTTTTATTATTATTGTTTTTAATGCACGTCAAAGCGTGCCCCAACACTTCCTCCGGAGAGTTCCCCGGATCCACGTTAGATATACTATCTGTAAATAAAATAAATAGAAATTAGATATTGCTTACATTATTTGTAATTAAAATACATACCGATCAAAACTCCATAAAAATTTGGAAACGCCTTCAATTTCTTCTTCCCACTAACTCCGTCAATATTGTATTGGACGATGAGTTACTCGACGAAAATATATTTCAACGATTTGGTTAGGGGTCCGCGCTTCAATATATTGGTCACAAGCCAATTATTAATACATTTCAATATACCAAATGATTAGATAAGAAAAATTAATTAAACATAATCTTAAATATATATAAATATTTCAACATATTTTAAAAAGGGTATTCTGACGTCGCTTCCATTCATTTGGTTTTCGACACCGATTTTTTTTCTCTCCCTCTCTCTCACCCGCGTGCCTCTGCACCGAAAATATGACGTAGAAGCTTCAAGAATCATCGTCGAAAACCGAAAGAAGGTAGAAGTTTCGTTTCCCCTTTCGTTTCGGACTTGATTTGTTTTTGTTTTTCGAACATGTCGCCAGGAAAAGTCGGGGAAGGAATTTGGTGCAAAACGCACACATGTTTAAATTTGAGTGTATGCGTAGCAGCAAAAAACAATGAGAGCCGAGCATTCACTGCGCGAAAAAAACCTAGTTTTTTATTTCATTTTTCGTTAATTCAAAAGTTGGAATATGCACTAAAATAGTGTATTTTATTTTAAAGGAAGCTTTTTTAGCAACAGTTTCTAAATAAATGAAAAAATACGCTTCCCTATCTACATTTTTCTATGGAAAAACACCTTAAAAACTTCAACTTGTCGGATTACCACATAACTAAAAAACATAAAAATTTACCGCCATTAATTAATGTAATTTATTCGCGCCATGTCAAGTGGAATGTCTAACCCTGCAATATCTAGGTCCGGCCGCCTTCTTCCTTATCGAGAGCTTTAGCTTTGCAATGTCTAGTCGGGCCGCACTTGCACTTTTCTCAATGACCAAACAGTTGGCTTAAATGACAAAAATTTTAAAAATGGCCAGCTCACTATACCCCCCAACTAATTATTTGAATAGATTTTTAACATTTTTGAATATTAGACACACAATTTTAGGAAATACTTTTATACGGGAAATAAATTTGTTTCACTATTTGTTTACAAATACATTAAAACATATTTATCCATTTATTTCTAAGAATGATTTTTATTTTCATTGCTATGAATTTATTGTTAATTTAGATATACATTTTTAGGTAGAAGCATGATCACCAAAAAAGGTGACGGGTCTCAAGTCAAAGAGTCTACCGACTCTTCTAGCACAACTCTGGAAGATGATGACGTAAAGGGTAAATATATACTTTTTAATTCACATGAAAAAACGTATAATAGTATATTTGCTTTTCGTAAAACATAGGATAAAATGATTCATTTAAGTAATTAAGCATCTTAGGACACAAGCTACAGCGTTATCTCTTTAAAAACAAAGTTAAAATATTTTTAGATAACTAGACAAACAATTTTTGTATAATATTAAAATCAGATGTAGCGATTAAATTATTGCTAACTACGTGTTTTCTTTAAAAAATGTGTAACATTTTTCATGCGGATATGTTTTAGAAGTAAAAATAAAAGATTTATAACCAACCGCTAGAAACTTCATAAACTTTAAAAACTCTTATAAATTCTAAGAAAATGTATTCTTAAAATGGCACTTAGTATTTTTGACGCTAGTACCTTCCTATATCTTCCTATTTTTTGACACCATGTTTTTTATTTATTTCGTGCCATTCATTTGAACAATAAAAATTGTTTTATTGTGAAAAAACACATATAAATATCCATGTTTTCTAATATTCACCAATTATATTGGTTGTTCATGAAAACGTTAAAAAAATGGAATTATTTTTATTATAAAATCGTACTTGTATATCGAAATATCGTAATACCAATAGGTAAAAATGGTTAAAAAGTTAATCTAGATCTTTTTATGCAAGCTAGGGTCGAAACATGATCCATGACTAATTATACCCTTGCAGAGGGTATTATAATTTTGGTCAAAAGTCTGCAACGCAGTGAAGGAGACATCTCCGACCCTATAAAGTATGAATATTTTGTGATCAGGATCACCTTCTGAGTTGATATAAGCATGTCCGTCTGTTCGTCTGTCTGTCTGTTTCTACGCGAACTAGTCTCTCAGTTTCAAATTTATCGTCTTGAAATTTTGCCCACACCCTTCTTGCTTCTGCGCGCATTTTAAAAGTCGGAACTGATCCGGGATCGGCCGACTATATTCTATAGCTGCCATATAACTGAGCTAGAGAGTTAGGATTTCGTATGAATTATATTCGTAACATGGTTTTATTATGAAATTCTCATAAAGATCGGCCAACTATATCCGATGTTTGCGATACATAACCGGTTTTAACTGCAAGGGTGTATAAACTTTGGTTCCGCCGAGGTTACCTTTTTTTTGTGTTAAATATAAATTAGTTGTTATAGAAAAAAATTGTGTTTGGCAATCCCTTTGTTTCGGAGACGAGACGATTCATAACATTTTGATACATCAAAAATTATTTCGGTAGGGAATAAAATGATATACTTCTACGCCATGAAGAAAAAAATGCAAGACACAGCAAATGACAATTATTAGATGCACATATATTAAAAATGAAATCTTTAATATAAGCATGTTTTTATACCCTTGCTGAGGGTATTATAATTTTGTCCAAAAGTGTGCAACGCAGTGAAGGAGACATATCCGACCCTATAAAGTATATATATTCTTGATCAGGATCACCTCCTGAGTTGATATAAGCATGTCCGTCTGTCTGTCCGTCTGTATGTCTGTCCGTTTCTACGCGAACTAGTCTCTCAGTTTTAAAACTATCGACTTGAAACTTTGCACACATCCATGTTTCCTTTGCACTCAGTATATAAGTCAGAACGGCCGGGATCGGCCGACTATATCCTATAGCTGCCATATAACTGATTGATCGGAAATGGTATAACTTTAATGTTTTTAGAGTTAAAGAGTTCAAATTTTACATGAGAGCTACTTTTGGCAAAATAATAGGACATGCTAAATTTCGTAAGGATCGGTGGACTATATCCTATAGGAAAGATGGATGTGTGCAAAGTTTCAAGTCGATAGTTTTAAAACTGAGAGACTAGTTCGCGTAGAAACAGACAGACAGACGGACAGACGGACATGCTCGTATCAACTCAGGAGGTGATCCTGATCAAGAATATATATACTTTATAGGGTCGGAGATGCCTCTTTCACTGGGTTGCCCACTTTTGGACAAATTTATAATACCCTCTGCAAGGGTATAAAAAAGTCCCAATCTTCTATCTTCAAAACCATCAAAATACGATAGCTCAGTTACATGGTGCTAAAGGATCCTAGCACCAAAGTTGGCCGATCATTTTGAAATTTGGCATGTCGTATTATTATATATACGACTATATCCGATGTTTGCGATATATATCCGTTTTTAACTGCAAGGGTATATCAACTTCGGCTCCGCCCGAAGTTAGCTTTTCTTTCTTGTTTGTGATATAAAAACTTAATTTTAAATAAAAATTCGGATAAGGATCGGATAACTTTATCCATAATTTGCGCTATACATACTGATTTTAAGTGCAAGGGTATATAAATTTCGGCTCTGCCTGAAGTTAGCTTTTCTTTCTTATTTAACATAATTATACGGTATAATTTATAGGTAAATTAAATAATTAAATAGTTGTTATACCCTTGCAGAGTGTATTATAAATTTGATCCAACCCTAAAAGTATATATATTCTTGATCGGAATCACCTCCTCAGTTGATATAAGCATGTCCGTCTGTCTGTTTCTAGTCTAGTCTAGAATCTTAAAACTAGTCTCTCAGTTTTAAAGCTATTGACTTGAGACTTTGCACACACCTTTCTTTTCTTTGCACGTAGTATATAAGTCGGAACGGCTGGGATCGACCGACTATTTCCTATAGCTGCCATATAACTGATTGATGGGAAATGTGTAACTATGGTGTTTTTAAAGAGTTTGGATTTTGCATAAATGCTGTTTTGGCCACATAATGCGACATACATTCATAACGATCGGCAGACTTTATCCTACAGCTGCCATATAAGTGAACGATCGGAAATGGTATTTGGGAAAAACACCAACTTTGGAATTTTTGAAGATAGAAGCTTGGGACCTGTTTTTAGATTTTTTATTGTAGTAAATTGATTTTAAATTATATTTTCATAAGGATCGGCCAACTATTTTCGATGTTTGGAATATTAATGTGGTTTTAACTGCAAGGGTATATCAATTTCGGCTCCGCCCGAATTTATCTTTCCTTTCTTGTTTATGATAAACTTAAAGTAACCAAAATTACTTAGAACATCCGCAAAAATATATTATATATTATTCATTATCAGACTATTTAAGACCGTGATATTGGAAAAGTAAAATAAGAAATTTATTCGTATTTTCATATTTCGTAGAAGATAAAAAAGCAATCGTGGATCGAAGTACCACAGTCATATCTAAAGAGCCAGAAGGTAAATTTTAAACATTAAATTATGACTGACATTCTTGCCGTGCTTTTATGCATGGTATCTATCATAACTATTATTTTATGTAGTAGTGTGATTTAGATAAAACTAATTCAAATTGTTAACAATAGTATAAGTCAATAAATCAGAGGCAGCAAATAACTCTTAACAGTTTTTTACATTTAGTTTTATATCAAAACTTAACCGAAAAGTTTCGATACTTTTTGGTATCGAAGTTAATTATATAAAGTTAATCAAGTTAATTAAAATAAAGTTAATCAAAGTAAATGAAAGCCCTTTGATTTGATTTATTAAGCGTTTAGGTTGAATTATTTTAGATTAGTTATATACTTTTTAAGCTCTTTCATAAATAACTTACCGAGACCAAATAAATTGAGTGGTCGCGCATCAAAAGTTTTCAAAAGAACGAAAAAATAATTAAATGCCCAGCTCAACAACAACAAACTTTTTCTCAACTCAAATTTTAAATATTCTACTTTCCTTAACCAAAAACCTTGCGGATAGCCGACACGAAATGTTCTTTCCGCATAGATAGTGTTTGGTAATGGAAGTCAAGGAGAAAATTTTTTTTGTTTTTTATACCATTGCAGAGGGTATTATAAAGTTGGTCAAGAGTGTGCATTGCAGAGGAGCCATCTCCGACCCTATAAAGTATATATATTCATGATCAGGATCACCTCCGTAGCTAATATAAGCATGTCTGCCTGTTTTTATGCGAACTAGTCTCTCAGATTTAAAGCTATCGACTTAAAACTTTGCTCACACACTTCTTTCCTTTGCACGTAGTATATAAGTCGGAATGGCCAGAGGCGGACGTCTATATTCTATAGCTGCCATATAACTGATTGATCGGAACTTTATGGTTTTTAGAGTTAGAGAGATTGAATCCTATGGATTCTATTCTTGGCAAAATTATACTTTCTAGAAAATTTTATAAGCATCTGCCGACTATATCCCATAGCTTCCATATAACTAGAAGATCGGTGCTGACCCAACTTTCGTGTTTTTAAAGATGGAAAGTTGTATCTTCGCACAGAATATATTTTTGGTCTTTTATTTGTTGATCCGACCTATCAAATTTCATACGGATCGGCCGACTATATCTTATAGCTGCTATATAACTGAACGACCGGAAACAGTATCTGATACAAATACCAACTTTGGTTTTTTTGAATATAGAAGATGTGGACTGGTTTTTATACCTTTGCAGTGGGTATTATAATTTTGGTCAAAAGTGTACAACGCAATGAAGGACACATCTCCGACCCTATTTATATATATATTAGGATTATATATATTATTATTATATAAGGTATATATATTCTTGATTAGGATTACCTCCTGAGTTGATATAAGCATGTCCGTCTGTATGTCTGTCTGTTTCTACGCGAACTAGTCTCGCAGTTTTAAAGCTATCGACTTGAAACTTTGTATACACCCTTCTTTCCTTTGCACGAAATATATAAGTCGGAACGGCCGGGATCAACTTCGGCCCCGCCCGAAGTTCGCTTTGCTTTCTTGTTTTTTGGGGATTTTTCCAGGCCCAGAGTCTAGACATTCAAGGACACTTTCTCACAAAGTGAATTCTTTTGAAAAGGAACACTTCCTTGTTATTTTAGGGCTACAAATAATTTTCCAGCAGTTCCTATAAGGACATTATACCCTTTCTGGTGTCCAAAACACTTGATCGCTTCTCGTATAACTCGTGGACAATTCAATTGGAGGATTGGAGGACCTTCCGATGGCTACCACCCGGTGTCGCCTAGTTAAGAAGCTACCAGGAAGAGTAGTAGAGTCCACTGGCCATGTGACGCCTGATTAAGTGCGAAATTTGACAAGAGGTTTTAAGAATTTACCAATAGAGCACTCTAAGGACTCTATACAACGACTATCCTTGGCAGAAATAAGCTCTCTCCTATTTTGACACATGGATCATAAATCTTGGGCAGCGAAGCGATCGCGAGTAGCGACGGCGACGCCGCACAGTGGCCGATTTGGCTAATTTAGCGTCAGATGTGGAATATCATTAAAAATAATGATAATTTTAAAAAGTTTGAAATTTTTATGTAATGTTAATCCAATAAGAAATAAAATTTAGTAATTTTCATTAAGTAAAATTTTTAATTTTTTATTTTTTTTTTTTAATTTATTTATTTTTTTATTTATTTTATTATTTTTGTTTATTAAGATGCAGTTTTACAATATAAACTAGTTTTAATTGTCCTAGTCAGAATCGAAATTTATTTCTTAGTCAGAATCCGAGTTTTCTTGCTGAAAATGTCGCTAAATTTAACAGGGGCAGGTTGGGGCAGCTAAACTTGGACAATTTATACACTAGACTAACCATAGTTTACCACAAATATAGGCTTTTTGTGAGCGGAGGCGACTTTCACAAAGTTTTCCTCTACAGAAGTGGAAATTTATTATAAACAAGAAAGGAAAGTTAACTTCGGGCGGAGCCGAAGTTTATATACCCTTGCAGTTAAAACCGGATATATATCGCAAACATCGGATATAGTTGGCCGATCCTTATGAGAATATGATAATATAACCCAATTTATTATAATACAAAAACCAAACCTAAAAATGTTCTAAACTTCTATCTTCAAAAACACAAAAGTTGGGTCATTTCCGATCGTTCAGTTATATGGCAGCTATAGGATATAGTCGGCCGATCCTAATGAAATTTGGTATGTTGGATCAACTGGCCAAAAATATAATCTGTATTAAGTTTCAGCTTTCTATCTTCAAAAACACGAAAGTTGGGTCATTTCCAAACGTTCAGTTATATGGCAGCTTAGGATGTAGTCGGCCGATCCTTATGAAATTTGGCATGTCGTAATGTTTTGATCTCGATAAAAGATAGCTCTCGTGTCAAATTTGAACTCTCTAACTCTAAAAACACCAAAGTTATACCATTTCCGATCAATCAGTTATATGGCAGCTTTAGGATATAGTCGGCCGATCCCGGCCGTTCCGACTTATATACTGCGTGCAAAGGAAAGAAGGGAGTGTGCAAAGTTTCAAGACGATAGCTTCAAAACTGAGAGACTAGTTCGCGTAGAAACGGACAGACAGACGGACAGACGGACATGCTCATATCAACTCAGGAGGTGATCCTGATCAAGAATATATATACTTTATAGGGTCGGAGATGTCTCCTTCACTGCGTTGCGCACTTTTGGACAAAATTATAATACCCTCTGCAAGGGTATAAAAAGGGTACTACAAACATTGCTGGTTTTAAACATAAATTATGAATGCAACATATACTCACAGGTCACAAAACATTTATTTTCGTTTACTACATACCTTAAACTTTGAGAAAATGCTAAAACTGATTTGAAACACACATAATCAAAAAAAGTGTCGCAAATATAAAAAGTCGTCGATCAAGCCAAATTCAACACCTGAAAATTGTAAAGTACCATATGTTAGCTTTTAGAGCTTACAGCTGATCTAGTTGATCAAGTTTATAGGTTTTGGTATTTTTTTTACCGAAATTAAATTATTTGACTATCGGTAGGAAACAAAATTTTATTGAATTTTAACAGTTGAAAATTTGCTTAATCTGACGCTAGAATAGCTAAAGTCATAATACATTGTCGTCATCGATTTATTTAATTGGTCCGTTTTTTAGGTCCTACAAAAATTTTACCACAATTTTTTTCAAATTTTATTTTTTATACATTAATACATGTGTGCTATGGAAATATCCTTCAGCTTCAACAAACCCTTCTTGGCTTACAAGGTGCCTCACGAACTTAAAAAATACTAAAAACAAGCTTTTACTTAAATATAAAAAAACATGCAGTAGTTTAGATTTCGTTCGATTCCAAGCTAGTTAACAAGGCTGTGTGCTAAAATACTACACCAGGGCTCTGAGTAAATCTCTGAGTAAACGGGAAGACCCTTGAGTGGAATAATTCATAATCAATAATATTTCTTAATTCCCTTATATAAAAAAGAAAAAAGTCCGATACAGAGGCATCTCTAAATTGGCCGCAATTCAAAAGATATTTGAAAAATTAATTACTTTTCATTACTTTTGCTCTTCGGTCATTTCTCCATGTCAGAATGGCTTCAATAAGTTTCGCTCCAATACCACTTATTTACCACTGGATTTGACATCCTATGTCATAGATGGCTTTCGAAAGGGATGTCAAACAGATGTTATTTAGACAGACTTTAGCAAGGCATTCGATTCAGTTAATCACTCACTCTTGTTGGGTAAACTGAATATGCTGGGCTTTTCTACTGACCTCTTAACGTAGATCTCCTGTAACTATATGGAAGAACACAAAGAGTCTCCTTTAAAAATGTACGTTCCCACTTGGTCCGTGCTACATCTGGGGTCCCTCTAGAAAGTCACCTTGGCCCGTTAATGTATTCTTGTATTGAAGATGATTTGACGCTTTTATCCAATGCTAGTTTCAGTCCGATTTCCGAAATGTTCAAAAATGATTTAATATTATATGGATCAAAATGCAAACTGATGTCTTTTTATCATTCTTGCTCTCACCAGGATACAAATTTTCTCTATAGGATTGCCTTAGAAATATTAACTCTGGTTAATGATCTTGGTGTCCTATTAGACTTAAAACTCAAATATTCCGACCATATTTTCACAACGATTAATAAGGCTAAAGGTTAAAGGTAGTTTTTCTACATACCCTCATCAATGGTGATGTAGATAGCCACCATTTACTAACACTCTAAAATTTCAATATTTCTAATAGAAGGACTAGAAACTTTAGTCCTCTATTCCTTAGTCACTGTAGTTTGGCATATGCGCATCACGACCCCCTTAGGGTCTCATGTTCGAACTACAATGGTGTTTACCTCATCATCTCTCATTCCTGTCCTTCAAATTTAAAATCAAGTATTTTAAATTACTAATTTACTAATTACTTTTAGTTTATTAAATCATAAATGAAAAATTAATCGTATCTAGAGCACCCCTCGGTCGTCTGGCCTCTAAGCTT